GGTAAAGCGTCAGTTGTATGACGGCCCGGGATCGCCATCTACCGACGTTTAAGGGGGCCCTAAAAAGGCTGATATTGACGTATGGTCAAAATACGTCCCAAAACGTCAGTTATATGACTTTTTGGGATGAGACTGTGTTAAAGTGGGACAGAGTTTTTATTCATTTATTTAAAGAATTTAAAGCGACTAACAACACTCTAAAAACTGCTGTGTTGTTTTACCCAATTTTGGGTCAAAAATGGACAAACCCAGCAATTGGGTTACATTTTTAACCCAATGTTGGAGTTTGTCCATATTTGACCCAAAATTGGGTTAAAACAACCCAGCATTTTTTAGAGTGAAATGATGAATACAAGCAATTCTTTTTTTACTTCAACTAATAAGCATAAATATAGCACACATATTATGTAGATTTTAAGTAGATAAAACAAATATTATTAAAGTGTAGTAATCACCGTTTCTCTTGACTTGTTCGCCATCTTGGATTTCTTCTTTTTTTTTTACTCAGCCCATTAAAATGTATTCTGGTATTGATTTCACTGAAAACTACACATCCGGTACTGAGTTTCATCTTGTCCAAAAGAAGGTAGCATAATTATGGAGCAGCATACCTTAAAACAAGCAAGTTAGTTGAAATGACATGGAACTGTAAAATATACAGCATGGAACGGCTCCTTTACTGTGTAACTGTTTTTCTTTCTCTCAGCCCATTCATTTGGCTCAGATCTCATTTCTGGTGAAGGCCTTTGGAATCCAGTTTGTTTTAGACCTGGAGCTCAATCAGTATGTGCAGAACCACACACTTGCAGAGACACATGTTACCATTCCCTCTAAACTGTACATTGATGATAATGACGGGGTGTGTGTGTGTCACCTACAGCGATCTCTTGTCGTCTGACTATGTTGAACGCCACTTCGATAAGGACGGGCGACCTTTTCAGAGTCCGGTAAGGAAAACAATCACTCTTTTTCTATTTTTATCCATTTATATTGATTAGAGCCAGACCGATATATCGGCAGGCCGATATTATCGGCTGATATTAGGCATTTTCCAGGAATATCGGATTTTAAAACCAAAAAAAAAATTGTATCGGTATCTGCCTTCAAAATCCTTTATCGGTCGGGCTCTAATAATGACCAAACATGTTTATTGATATTAGATCTCCTGTTACAAAGACAATCTTTGTGTCTGTTTGTAATTGTAGTTAAACCCTAATACACTCAGGATTGTGTACCATAATACCGTGGTAATATGGCTTTTATTAGTATTTGTAACACATACACACACATACTGTACAGACACACTGAAAAAAATCACTTCTATGTCTTCTCTGCATTTCACCTCTTCTCTTGCTTGATTCCTAGTCTAGTTGTCTAATAAACCTTATAAGCTTAATTTATTACGAATATTGTTGGCTCTTTGACAAATTGCTATTGCTCCTCTTTTGTATGTCGCATTGGATAAATCTCTGATAAAAGCATTCATTTAAATCTAATCGAATGACAATGCTTTTTGGCTAATATGAGACACGTAATTAAAAGATTTGTTAATATTTCTTAATGTAAACTTCTGCGGTATAATCTGTGGGTCTGGGATATACCCACTCCCTTTCTTAGTGCTTGACTTTGATGCAGCAAGGCTAAGGAGCCTGGGAAAGCATCCGCCCCTCCTGTTCAGTGTCAGCCACGTTTGACCAATCGCAACACTGTTGCCATGACAACTGCTTATAGACAGTTCTAGTCCACTTTGGCCAACTGAGTGAGAGAGAGGAGAGAGAGAGAGAGAGACACACGCAGGAAGCATTGAGTGGAGAAGCTGAAGTTATTAAGCATCTACACTGCTGCAGCAGAAACTGCAGTGCAGAAAACTACACCCAGACTGGTAAAATGAAATCCCAGCAACAGTTGCAAATATACCTCGGGTACGCCAATCACACCACTGCCATGTCTCCCACGCGTTCAGTGTGTGTGGGTGCCCGCTTACAGACCCCACGGCTCTTAAATTGTATTGAGAGTGTGGCTTTGGAAATGATGAATGATTCTTCAAATCCTTGGTCTTGTCGAGTAGAGGTGTGCTGTTACTTTACTATGCGATTAGGTGCAACATTATAGAGGCATAGAGACAATGGACCAGAATATCATGGAGACTTGAGCGAGCTCATTCTAAAAGCTTTTGATGGACATAGGAAAAGTGATCTGATGAATTTTAATGGGGTAATGTTGCCTTGGTTACTGTCATATTTGAGGGCTGTTCAGCGTTCACTGTGTAATTATTTCACTTCGGTGCAATGTGTGATGGTTTGATGTGTGTGAGATTTCAGGGAGGAGAGCACTGTTACTATCACGGTCACGTGAGAGGAGTTCAGAGGTCATGGGCGGCTCTCTCCACCTGTCACGGCCTACGGTGAGATGCAACCCTTTAACTGTTTTAACTGTACAATCAATGTTTATTACCCTTAAAAAACACTCCATCACCTTAGTTGCTTTTTATGGAAGCTTGTTTCCAACACGGGCTATTTAAAAATATCTTACAATTCAGACTTTTTTCTTTCTTTTTTTTTTTAAATATCTCACAATTCAGACTTTTTTCTTTCTTCTTTTTATATCTCAATTCAGACTTTTTTCTCTCTTTCTTTAATATCTCACAATTCAGACTTTTTTCATTCTTTTTTTATATCTCTCAATTCAGACTTTTTTCTTTCTTTTTTTATATCTCAATTCAGACTTTTTCTTTTTTATATCTCAATTCAGACTTTTTTCTTTCTTTTTTATATCTCAATTCAGACTTTTTCCTTTCTTTTTTAATGTCTCACAATTCAGACTTTTTTCTTTCTTTTTTTATATCTCAATTCAGACTTTTTTCTTTCTTTTTTAGTATCTCAATTCAGACTTTTTCTTTTTTATATCTCAATTCAGACTTTTTTTTTATTATCTCACAATTCAGACTTTTTTCTTTGTTTTTTTATATCACAATTCAGACTTTTTTCTTTCTTTTTTAGTATCTCAATTCAGACTTTTTCTTTTTTATATCTCAATTCAGACTTTTTTTTTATTATCTCACAATTCAGACTTTTTTCTTTGTTTTTTTATATCACAATTCAGACTTTTTTCTTTCTTTTTTTAATATCTCACAATTCAGACTTTTTTCTTTCTTTTTTTATATCTCTCAATTCAGACTGTTTTTCTTTCTTTTTTATATCTCAATTCAGACTTTTTTCTTTCTTTTTTATACCTCAATTCAGACTGTTTTTCTTTCTTTTTTAATATCTCACAATTCAGACTTTTTCCTTTCTTTTTTAATATCTCACAATTCAGACTTTTTCCTTTCTTTTTTATATCACAATTCAGACTTTTTTATTTCTTTTTTCAATATCTCACAATTCAGACTTTTTTATTTCTTTTTAATGTCTCACAATTCAGACTTTTTTCTTTCTTTTTTAATGTCTCACAATTCAGACTTTTTCCTTTCTTTTTTTATATCACAATTCAGATTTTTTCTTTCTTTTTTAATATCTCACAATTCAGACTTTTTTCTTTCTTTTTTAATATCTCACAATTCAGACTTTTTTCTTTCTTTTTTAAATATCTCACAATTCAGAGTTTTTCTTTCTTTTTTAAATATCTCACAATTCAGACTTTTTTCTTTCTTTTTTAATATCTCAATTCAGACTTTTTTCTTTCTTTTTAATATCTCAATTCAGACTTTTTTCTTTCTTTTTAATATCTCACAATTCAGACTTTTGTCTTTCCTTTTTAATGTCTCACAATTCAGACTTTTTTCTTTCTTTTTTTATATCTCACAATTCAGACTTTTTTCTTTCTTTTTTAATATCTGACAATTCAGACTTTTTTCTTTCTTTTTTTAATATTTCACAATTCTGACTTTCTCTCTTTGCAATTGTGAGTTTATATCTCACAGTTTTGCCTTTATTTCGTCCAATTCCGAATTTAGAACTCACAATTCTGGCTTTTATTTTTTAAATATATAAACTGTGATATATAAACTTCAAACCTACTATTTATAAACCATAAACCTATACATTTATTTATTTATTTTTCATGGTGGAAATAAGCTTCTATAATTTTTTTATTGTTGTTTTCACACGTACAATTTGGTGCCATTAATATCAAAATGTCTGTTTGGGCATTTTTGGACACATGCACTTCTACAAAGCACTATTCCACATTTTTTATTTTATTTTTTTTAAATAGGTGCGTTATCCAGGGATTTGAAGTGCTGCAATCTGTAACAACATTAAAGTTGAATCTAATCTAATCTAAAAGAAATGAATTTAGCAAAAAAAGTCAAGCAGTAGTTTTACTATAAATGCAGTGGTATACATGGTTATACACACTTTAGTGTACTGTACTGTGTGTGTGTGCAGATATGTTTTATAACAATAAATAGTAGCACTATTTATAATAGGTCAAATTAAGGTCACATTAGTTACAATAAGGCCACATTAGTTCCCTTTTCTAATGCAATTTCTACAGTATTTACTTATCTTTGTTAATGTTAGTTAATAAAAACACAACCGTTCATTGTTAGTTCATGATAACTCCGGTCCATTAAATAATATAACCGATAGGCCTATATCCGTCACGCGGGTTGTAGAGAAGTGCATGACGGAGTAGAAAACAGAAACAGTTTTTATTAAATGCACACACAGGATATCCTAGAAGAAAAGCACATCCACGTATAACATAGATGATACCGGACACTATCTTCTAAGTGATACTAATAAAAGAAACGTTATAAAAGAGAAACAGAACAGGTGGGTGGAAACAATTAACTAACTAAGAACTCAGCCATAACATAATCATAACAGAAAATACATGTTACAACTTACTTTTAGTTGATTTTAATTATGTATTAGTAAATGTTAAAATTAACATTATCTGAGATGACTAAAAGTATTTTTCATTGTTAGTTCATCAACTAATTTTAGCAAATTGAACCTTATTGTAAAGTGTTACCCAATAAATCCTTCTCATTGAAAGAGTCTACATGTTTAGGCTTTGGGTTGTTGTCATTGGAGCGTCTCACATTTGTGACGTTGGTGTGTCTACAGAGGGATGTTCTCAGATGGCAACTTTTCCTACAGCATCGAGCCCGTGCACAACAGCAGCGATCAGGTCAGTACACAGCTGAAATATTCATCTCTCTCATCTTTCTCATCTGCATGTTGCAGCCTGGAAAAACAAATAGATACATAGTCCTGCTCAAAGAGAGACAGAAGAGACAGCGAAGCACTGATTATTAGCCACATGCTCAGGAATATGCATTACTGCGGTTGACTGACAGGTGAATCAGATTCGGCAGACGCCATGTGGGACGGAGGTGAAGAGCAGGAGGAGGGTGTCGAGTAAAAAATATGAAACAGAGCAGCTTATGCGTGATATTAGCAGCACTGCATTATCATATCAAAATCTGTCACTTTAAAATGAATGAAGAAATTTGATTTAATAATAAGAATGCCTATTTGATGTTATTTTTCTGTCAAGTAATAATTTTTGTAGGCTATTTTTTACTATAGACATTCAAAGTACAAAGAACTTATTTCTGAGTTTAACATGCCAAAACCATAACTGGTTAAATACAGGTTAACCCTCTGATGGTCTTCGTTTAGGAGTCACGTCCTGAGCCTTCCTGGTCAGAAGTGACCGGACACCTAAAAATGAAACTTCCTCCATCCCAGTAAAACCAATGCAATTTATTTTTGTTCTATAATATTTATTCTTTTTAATTTAGTATTTTGAGACAATCTGATTGAATTTATTAATATTTATGCGATATTTATGGTCTATTTTTGCCATGGAAAAATATATATATTTTTATATATATATATATATATATATATATATTATTAAAAAAAATATTAATGCAGTATAGAGTCCAGGCCTTCAGAAAAAAATTTTTTTTTGAAGAAAATTAGCTCCATCTGGTTACAGTATAGAGAAAAAGCGTAGAATCATGGTGTGACCACTAGAAATGTACATCTAGATGCATGTACAGCTCTCTATGGAAAGGCATGTAAATTCCCCTGCTGTTTATGTCACATTTACTTTTTTTTTTTTTTTTTTTTGGTGGATTTGAATATATATTTGAAACAATCTCAAATTTTTTATTTATTTTGTATTTTTTTTTAGAAATAGTGATATAAAAGTGTTTCCCATTCATTTCCTATGGAGGTCAATTTTTGACCGAAGACCAAAATTGTGACTATATTTTTACGACCACTTAGCATTCTCGGCTCATGAACTCAATTTTTTTTGTGTGTTCACATCCCTAATGCCAGAAATGTCACCAAGTTGCGTAACATTCAGATGAAGCTGTGATTTTTAAAAATTCAAAACAGATTTTTTGTAATCTGAATTATATTGGTGTGTATGTGTATAAAAGTGTGTTTGTATGCGTGTGTGGGTGGGTGTGAATTTTTTGCACTCTTGATGTTGTAGAGTGTCAGTCCCCTTTACTGCGGTGTACTTTCTTTAGAATCGTGGCCGATTTGTAGATTGTACAGACAAAAATTCAGGGAATTGTAGTGTTTTTGTAAATTCCCCATTCATTTCCAATGGGTCGGTCATTTTTGACCGAAGACCACGAGTGTGACTATTTTTTTTTACTACCACTTAGCATGCTCAGATCATGACCTCCATTTTTTTTTTTTTTTTGTATTCACAATCACATACCAAATACCAGAAAAGTCACCAAGTATAAACAAGAACTAAAACTAAAAAACTGACTTGTGACTTGAACATCACAAAGAATAGTATGAAAGTGTGTGATTATAAACACTATGAGGCTGTGAAAGCAGACTAGTGAGTGGATGAGATTACCTGTTTGGTTTGATGGTAAAGTACCCATGAGATCAAAATTGGCTTTTAGCCTTACTGTTATCTCTTGGATCTGAAGTGTCCCGCCCCCTACATTATAGATACACGCTAAAGCTGCGGCAAAATCGGTGTCACAGTGTAATATATAGGGGATAGGAAACGATTCAGACGATATAAATATGCTTTCCATTGGGGTGAATGACCTCTGATTGACGTTACTGTCACACGAACCGCTGCGTGCTGCAGTGCACACACACAGTCTGCTCTGGTCTAGATCACAATTAGCACAGCGGATCATATGCGGGGCAGTGCGGAAAACGTATCGGACCCATTTGAATTCTCCACAGAATGCGATTCGTTTTAGAGATTAGGAGGAAACTGCGGCTTTACTGAGCTCAACGGCCCTGGCCGGGCTGTGATGTAAACAACATGTTTTGGGCTATTTTTAAAAAGGGGGAGGAGCTGTTTGATATGTCCCGCCCTGTCTTCCTGTTTCAGTGGAAATGATCAACCTTTGTTGTCCTGTGAAGACACTTGTTTGCAAGTAAAGTAAAGCAAGTAAAAGCTTAAAAACAAATCACAACACTCTAAAAAATAGACAAAGCCAGCTATTGTGTTTGTCTATATTTTACCCAAAATTGGGTTAAATCAACCCAGCATTTTTTAGAGAGAAGGCAGTATAATACACCAGTTATGTCGTAGAATAAAATGTGCAAATATCTTGAGCTTTTGGCCTTTTTATCAGGCATTGTAACCAGAAATCCATTCCAAAAACCCAATGACTTTGGGACGATGAAACCGGAAGTCCTAAATATTGATTTTTGGCCTAGGAAAAAATACATTATCCTTGCAGCACTCTAATTCCAGTAATTCATTTCTGTGGGAGGAGTTTGTTCCAAGACAAATAGAGAAGCCTCAAAAGTAACCGAGCTTATTTTGAGGATATGAAGATCAATCAGTAATTTGTGTGAATTAAATTAAGTTGCATTGAAATAGCATGTCAAAGGTGTTTGAGTGATTCTCTCTTCTTTCATTGTTTTGCTGTTTTTCTTGATCCTTTCATCTGTATTTGTTAGCTATCTCTCTTTCACTCCCTCTCCACTCCTCTTTCAGTTCTTTTAAATGGGCCATTTTCATAAAGTATTCAAAGCCACATGTAAAGTGTCTCTCTCTGTCTGGGTAGATGGGAGATTAATAATGAATAGTTGTGTAATAGCCTTACGTGGCAGAGCTCAGTACATCAGTGAGCCTTTCATTTGAGAGGAAACGTTACCTGACAGCAGGAAACAATTCAGGCAGAAATTAGCACCTTTTTTATACAATTTGGTACCAAAATATAACCTATGTACCAAATATTGTGAGTTCAATTATAACATGACTTTTCAGTAGGTCAAGATAAGGGTTTGGCCTACTTTTATCAAAAGGCTACAAAAATGGTTATGAAGTATAAATGATTCTGAAAATCGATGTAAAAAATGAATGCTGATAAAACAATGTGGTAAATGTGAAAAAAATGACTAAATTTGGAAATCAAACACAAGGATATTATGATGATACAAGCAACATTGTGTAAACTATGTTTGGGGATGTGCTTTATTTTGATAGTCCACTTTAGACATTCTACTAGCTATAAGTAACTTTTCAACTACTTGTCAACTAACTGTCATTAAAGTATTAGTAGACTGTCAGCTTAATATCTGCTAACACTTTATTTTGTTGGTCCCCCAACAGATATTCAATTGACTACTGTATAAGTAACTTGGCGACTACATGTAAACTTATTCTCCTAACCAAAGCCTAACACCTAACCATAACCTAACAGTCTACTATATACTAATACTCTGACAGATAGTTGACATGTAGTTGAAAAGTTACTTATAATTAGTAGAAAGTCTAAAGTGACTATCAAAATAAAGTGTGACCTTACATTCTAACTCAGCAGCTAATAACTATGTATGTAGTTTCCCGCATTTAGGTACCAAATTTGGATGAAAATCGGCCACAAGGTAACGCCAAAAAAATATTACATTTTAGCTAGTATCTTTGGACTGTGCCAGCAAGAATATTACCATTTATTTATTATTGACATTAAATGACACCGAAAACAGCAAGGATATTAAGCTGCTGTCACTTTAAGGCCGAATACACAAACCGAATATACTGACACACATCCGGTTTCTTTCCCAACTGTTCACTTATAACATACCTGAGAGAATACTTGACAAAACGGGTATTTTGAAGTAATTTTTTGTGTACGTGTCTGTTCAAGCGCAAGTAAACGCGAAAGAGGAATCAATTCAGTGGTCGTGCGCTGTTTAAAACGTGCCTCTCTCTGTGTGTGCACGCGCTTCGAGTGTGTGCGGCTTTGTGCACAGATAACAGCTCACAAGTCAACATTTTCACCTCTTGTTTCATGTTTAAAATCGTTTGAATGTGTAAATTGGCAAGAAAAAACACGTCCAAATAATAATCTTTCACACTATTATGATGAAAGATTAAACTTAGCAGTTAATCCTTATCCACGCTTCTCATCATGATTGCTATCTTACTAGATATGGAATAAAAACCTATTCCAGTATGTCCCTGTCCCAGTGTCCCCAAATATTTGTTGTTCTCAAAAGCACTTCCCTCCACATTTTTTACCAGTCATGTGCCGTTATGTGACATTTTTCGTAAATGACAGTATGTTCATTCACAATTATACTAACCATAAATCCCCAGACCCTGACAATCCACAATAGAAATCACAATACTGTCACACAAAACAAAATACAAAATTCCACAATGAACGTTACAGAACCTCTAAACCTTTAAACTGTGTGTTGACATTTACCATAATTCCACTAGTTCAACAACATCAGCAGCTTGTTTTCTTTCAATTTATCTGTTATCTCCACTCCACTGAACTGCTTAGACCCCGGTAATTGTCGTTTGCGGCAATGTGGAACCTTACAGGAATAGCTCGTCATATGACTAATGTCAAGGGGAACATGCTGCATGCAGTATTTATGAAGATTTCATATAGTAGGTGACTTCTATGTTTCTGTCACACAGGATGAAAATACTCATGTTGTATACAGAATGGCAGACATCCGGCTGATGCCAAAAAACTCAGGTAAGACATACATTCCTCTCACATGCACATACAATTACTTCATTTTAAAATTGTATGACTTTCTTTCTTTAGTGGAGAAAGAAAAGGCAAATTGCAAAAGTCACCATGCATCACATCGTCTCTAATGAACAGACAAATAATAGCAAAAATCACCATTCACATTTGTTGTATGGAAAAGATCACCTTGACAAAATGACTATTCCTTTAATACATTTATAGACATAGTCACTGTCTTATATGACATTGTCTTTTTTTTTTTTTTTTTTACAGCATTCAGACTATATCCTTCCTGCTTTCTCTTTATCTGTGTGCTGCATATTGATTTTTTGCATGGATCATTTTTCAGTAATAGACATCTTTATCGATCCACTGAATGCTGACGAGTGGGAACTTTTATTCGGGGTGGTTTTAGTCCGTATAACCTATGGCTTCTTCTCTTCCAGGAAGCACCAGGAACGGCAGTGACTCTGACATTAACAGTGACTATCCCGTTTCTATGGAGACGAATGAATCGGAGCTCACAGATGGGCTGAGACGGGCAAAAAGACAGGTGAGAGTTATTATTTTTGACATCAGTTGATTTTTCTTGAAGATTCGTCATGCGTAGCAAGCTGCCAAAAATGGCATCCAGAAAACGGTTTCAACCGAGGGACGGCTGTGGTGATGGTTTTGTACCCTGCTCAAGAATTCCTCACTGTGGCCCTGCATAGACGTATCAGATTAGGAGTGCTGGTCTCATGTTATGTTAGGTGTCTTTCACTACTAATGCACTTAAACTACCGGTCAAAAGTGTGGAATTAAGATTTTGTAAGTGTTTTATTTTTTCTGCCTTCTGCTCACTAAGGCTTCATTTATTTGATAAAAACAACCCACTCCCAGTAAAATTGTGAAATTGAATTACAATTAAGAGTAAATGTTTTGTATCTAAAAAAAGAGAGAAATAACTATTTACTTATGGGAGTAATCTTTTTGTACATCATAAACATTAACTAAAAAATAAAAGTGGGTCTATTAAATGTTGCATAGTTGGTCCTACAGTTATGGAGCTACAGTTTATGATTTACAAATGCTTTCATTACATTTACAAATTCATTCATTAAATATTTATCTCTTTTTAAACATTGTTGAGGTATATCCTTAAATATTTTACTGTCAAAGGAAAGGGTTTTTTGTTTTTTTTTCTTATTATTTTATTGATACATCACAGTGTTGGCAATACGTTTCTGCTTTACTGAATGATTTTGTGAGTGGGACGGGCACGCTACTGGCTGTATGTGTGTGCCTTACAATGCATCACGCATTAGTTTAGAACGGCGATTAACTTAAGTGTACAATAAGCTTTTTATAACGTTCATTCCCTAATTATTTTTTAAGATCCAGATGGTATAATCAAACATGTCTTGTGGAGTTCTCGCTGATTATGCATTTATTTGTCATTTGAACTGTTTGACATCGAAGATTTCTTATTGATTTCTTATCTTATGACTAGTCGACTGTGCCCTCTATAGGCCATGACTAGTGACTAGTCGACATCAAGCTTAAAGGGGGGGTTGACTGTTTTTTTTCTTTGCATGATTGTGTTTATGGGGTGCAATATAACATGTATTTGTGTTTTTTCTTTTTTTAAAAGTCTTATTTTTCATAAACTTTACCTTTATTGTAAGCCACGCTCTCTTTTGTCCTCGAACGACTGGTTGACTTCCTGAGTCTATGAAACCACTCCCTCAGAAAGGGTCAGTGGGCTCAGATTGGTTAGTTTGGGCCGGTGTGTTGTGATTGGCTAAACTGTCGCTCACGTTGTCCGGAAGGTTAACGCCCATTACCTTTATGGGCGAAACGTGCATGTCATGAGCTCCGGTCCAGATGTAAATATGTGTCGAACTGCAGTATCAGTTTGAGGCAGAATCAGACCGAGAAAGCGGCGATGAAGAGAGTCAAGCAGAAACTCACCACACACGGCTCTTACTAAACGTTTCTGAATGATAATTTGCTACATTTTTAACTTTATACACGTTTGTTTTACACAATAGCATCTGACTGGCAACAATATCAACTGACTGGCTACTAATGTTATACTCAAACAGCGTTGGCATTAATTCACGGTCTTGATCAAATCGAAAATAACGTCATAAAGCGTATATACATGAAAAATACATTTAAAACATTAGTACTTATACAAAATTCAGGTCTGTAATGTTTGTACGCGTTTGTCGTAGACACAAAATAGCATAACTAGTAGCCTAGTGGCAATAAAGCCAGCGCTGGCATTTGAAAAAAATAAAACACAAGGCTACGTCTGGAATAATACATGCAAATACATTTAAAATGATGAAGTCTTAGCCTACTTACAGGTTGTGGCCCAACAACTGCTGCCTCTGGTTTTAAAGTTGGAACTGCTTCATGTTTTAGTAACAGTTTCATGTTGAATCCGGTGTTGAATTCGTGGAGATTCTGGAAGCTGTCTTCCGTAAAATGCACAGCACAGAGAGCTAGATTACGATCGTCATTTTCAGGAACATAGTCAAACATAAATTGTATCCATTGTTGATGAAGTACAGCGTCTGTGGGAAGCTCGAATACAGAAGACCTGACAGCTGGATGAACACAACACACTCGACGAGCCGCTGAAATATGGCCATGCCCTTTTTTGCATATTCCGGAGGAAGGGGTTGATGCGAATGTGTGGGTTAGTGACGTCTAAAACCCAGCTGTATTCCCAATCCAGTCATTTTTGTAGGCGATATACTTCCTGATTTTTAAAAGACGATATCTCAGCTTACACTAAACTTTCAGCTCTGCAACTTTGCAGATACTGTTCATGCACCAACAGCAACATTACACACTATTTAAAATGAAAAAAGTGAAATCGCAATCAACCCCCCCTTTAAAACATCATCATGGCAGAGCATTTAAAGAGATACTGCACCGTTTTGTCATATTAAACTGTTATTCCCTTAACTAAGACGAGTTGATACATACCTCTCTCGTCTCACATGCAGTCTATCGCTTTGGCATGCGAGACACTTTGATCACACTTACTGTAACTAGCCCAGTTTATTCATTAGGATCCAAGCAGAGAAGCGACCAAACACCTCCACGTTTTCCCTATTTAAATACAGTTACCCACAGAATACCACAGCAAGTAGGAGCATATTTATCTATGGACTCTGCGGAGTCTTGACTCCGGACTCCGACTTTTCACGAGTGATGATATTACTGCGCCGAGTTGAAGTGCTCCCAAGCACTTGCTGTGATATTCCGCCATTCATTATAGTTATCCACTTTAGATGCTTAGAAAAGTTCAACGTTTTATTTTGTGTCACCATTCTTGGTCGAGTTACAATACTCTTGTAACTGTATTTAAATAGGGTAAACGTGGAGGTGTTTGGTCGCTTCTCTGCTCGGCCCATATTGAATGAACTGGGCTAGTTAAGTGTGATCCAAGTGTCTCTCACGCCAGAGCGATTGAGTGCACGCACTGAGACGACAAAGGTATGTATCAACTCGTCTTAGTTAAAGGAATAACATAGTTTATTATGAAAATAAACGGTGGAGTATCCCTTTAAGTCGACTTCTCTACTAGTCTTTGTATTTTTGCTGTGAAGTTAATTATTTTGGATTGTTAATTATGGTAATTTTACATAATTGATCGAAAATACATTAACGTATAATGTGAAAAGAAATGATTAGTAATGGTTGCACTGCTTTTGGACAGTGTACATTTGCAAACTGTCTTCCCAGCATTATAAACTGGTTGAACCAGTGCATCGATCCACAAGTTACTCAATTATAGTTCACTTTCAAACATACATTACAGTCACTCCGACTCAAAATGATCCAGTATCCTGGAGTATATTATCATGATGCCAAATGATGACAGATTTTCCCAACTCACAACTAGCAGTCTTGTGATGGCTTTTTCTGAACATCAGAAAGTATAACAAATAAAATGTACTGTAAACATATTTATTGCATGATTACATCAGTATTTGATCTGGCTGATGTAACAGGGGTCTGGTGGCAGTAGCTGTCAAGTCAAAAGTACACTGATACTATGACAGGCAGGGTTTGTAAATGAATGTTTAATAGTAAACACATTGAAGATTAACATGCAAGCTGTCAATTCAAAAAGCATTCAGCTGTTTCCAGGGCTGGACTAGGACTAAAATGTGGCCCTAGACTGCACAGAAACATTTAGTACTTAAAAATATGCAAGTGAAATAACATTAAATGCAATAATGTATTTGTATGTATTAATATTTGTCTAGTCTTTGGTGTACGACAAATAGAACTTTGAAGAATTTTTACCCAGCTCTTTTCCATCCACGTACAGTTTAAAGGTGCCATCTGGAACTAAAAATCAAAAAAATATTCCATATTCCATACCAGATGGGGGCAGTATACCTCCAGAAAATGTGTTGTGCCGCAGCCGCGCGCACTCACGTCTTCAAACAACACAAGCGAGCGCTGTTTTGCTCTCTTTCTCCGCATATTATTCAAATCATTTGACACGATAGTAAAAGGTCGGAAGACCGCAGTTTCACGTGGAGCATTTGGAGATTTGAACATCTCAACACTAAATGATGAAGACCGTCTCATAGACGCCTGTCTCAAAAACAAGCTGTTGCATTTAGACGATATGGGAAAATAAAAGCCTGCGGGCTATTATTTTAAGTTTACGGTATTCGTTTTGTTCATATTACACTTTTATTGTTAGTTTGAATTAATTTGACAGACAGCATTCGCTGATGTTGATCAACCTAGCGCCATTCAGAGCTGCCAACTCTCACGAATTCACCGTGAGACACATGCAATTAACACTTAGCAAGCAGGTTAGTTAAGCTCTCAGATTCTGTCAATTTTATTATGCAATTCAAACAATAAATACCGTTTTGGTGCTTGTAAATGTTAGACGACAGATCCCTAGCGCACGTGAACCGATCGTCTCTACTAGCTAATGGAAAGAACACGAACACTGTTGAAAGATACAGTATGCTACAACTTACCAAAATGTATTCCTCATGCATAATGTCGACCAATCATTTTTTGAACTCTTCCCTGAACTGAAATGTAGTAATGGGCTGTATTTTCCACACGACTGACATCAGGTTCAAGTACACACAAGCCGCGCGACTTACTCGTCTATTGCAGTTTGGCTGGTGGTAACGTTGCCCGCCCGCATACCGCCTCCCATGGCCGGAACTGGTATTACGACACCTGCCGGACCGGGGCTAGTAATTTAGCATGCTAATTTAGGTTTATATCTCGGCAGCACTATAACTTGTCAGTTTTTTAATTACATCATTGCACTTTTTTCTTCTCATTCTTTTGATGCGTGTAGCTCATTTTTTGGATATTTTTACCTCAATTATTACGTATGGCACCTTTAATATCACAGTTGTAGTACACCATAAAATTTGTCCAAATGACACAACGCTCATAGAATTAAAACTGGATGCAGTGAGGAACGGGTGTCCAAGAACAGGCGAGGGACGAGAGCCTTTTTAATCCTGTCCTGGAGGACCCCCAGCACTGCATGTTTTGTGTCTC